CGGGGGGGAACAGATAGAGAGGGGGGCAGACAGAGACAGACAGAGACAGAGAGAAAGAGAGAGATAGTGAGAGAGACGGGGAGAAATAGAGAGAGATAGTGAAAGAGAGAGATGGTGAGAGAGAAATAGAGAGAGAGCGAGAAATAGTGAGAGACAGAGACAGATAGTGACAGAGAGGGAGATAGTGAGGGAGATAGTGAGAGAGTGAGATAGAGAGAAATAGTGAGAGAGAGACAGATAGTGGGAGAGACAGAGATAGTGAGAGTAAGAGGGAGGGAGAGATATAGTGAGAGAGATAGAGAGAGAGGGAGGTAGTTTGAGAGAGATAGTGACAGAGACAGATGGTGAGAGAGAGAGATAGTCAGATAGTGAGAGAGATAGTGACAGAGAGAGATAGTGAGACAGAGATAGACAAAGAGGGATTGCGTGAGTGAGAGAGAGATTGTGAGAGAGATGGGGAAGGGAGTGAGAAATTGTGTGAGAGCAAGAGAGATTGTGCATGAGAGAGAGATTGAGAGAGAAAGAGATGGGGAGAAGAGAGAGATTGTGTGAGAGAGAGGCAGAAATTGTGTGTGTGAGACAGAGAGAGGGGATGAGGGAGAGGGAGAGGATGAGGGAGAGAGATTGTGTGAGAGAGATTGCAAGAGAGATTGTCAGGTCGAGAGAAAGAGAATGTGAGGGAGAGATTGTGAGGGTGGGAGATATTGAGAGAGAAAATGTGAGAGAGAGAGCGAGAGAGAGAGTGTGAGAGTGAGATCGAGAGGCATTGAGAGAGAGAGATTGTGTGAGAGAGAGAGAAAGAGACAAATTACACACTGGATACTGATCCTCTGTCTCTCTTCTCTCCAGGCACTGCCCCTCTCTACCTCCAGACTTTGATCCTCTCTATCTCTCTCTCTCTCACACACCCCACCCTCTCTGTCTCTCTCCCTTGCCCCACTCTCTCTCTCCCCCTCCCCCAACTCTCTCTCTTTCTCGTCCAAACACTCACCCTCTCTCATGTTCTCCCTCTCTCTCTCTCAACTCTAACTCACTGACCCTCTCTCTCTCTCTCCTTCCCTGGACACTGACCCTCTCTCTCTCTCTCCCCCTGGACACTGACCTTCTCTCTCTCTCTCCCCCTGGACACTGACCCTCTCTCTCTCTCTCTCCGGACACTGACCCTCTTTCTCTCTCTCTCAGACACTGACCCTCTCTCTCTCTCCGTCTCTCCGGACACTGACCCTCTTTTTCTCTCTCCCTCTCTCTCTCTCCGGACACTGACCCTCTCTCTCTCTAGACACTGACCTTCTCTCTCTCTCTCTCTGGACACTGACCCTCTCTCTCTCTCTCTCT